AATCATATAACAAACTGGATATCTAAAACAACAATTTATCATAAGTCAAAAACGATTAAGAATATATAATGGAGCATAATAAATGACGAAGTGCATATAGCAGGGCAAGCCAAACACTCGCTAAAGGTATTTGTGTTGATATTCCCAACAAGCACTAGAGAGAAGTCTGGTCCCCTCAAAAGTGAGCTTGGTCATGTAACTGATAACAACAATGAAAGATGTAGCAATTGATATATGTACTTTATTTATATTTTCTAGAGAAGGGCTTGATATTTTACCTATACCTGAACAAATCTGTGTCGATGGAGAAGAAGGAGAGGTGAACTGTTGGCATTACCATGAGAGAAGTGTTTAGTAGTAATATCAAGGCAGGTGATGAGTCACAATAACGTGGCTAAAGTAAGTTGACCAGACCACACACTAGAAGGTGAAGGGACGACTTGACTTGAATCGGCTTGAGAATGGTCCAGGACGGACCGAAACGTCGTCGTCCCTTCACCTTCTAGTGTGTGGTCTGGTCAATATCAAGGCAGAAACAAATTTCCAGCACCAGAGAAAGTCTTTCCCAGGTCATAACAAATGTAAGGAAGAGCTTTGTGAGTCTTTGGCTTTCATATTTAATAAATGCTTACAGGCGAGCAGAGTGCAGGCCTTGTGGAGCGTTGGAAAAGTTGAGACAATTTTTAAGGATGAAAATAGATGAATTACAACGAACTATCAGCCAAAAACCATAACATTTATTGGACGAAAATTACTTAAAACGATAATCGCAAACAGCACTCATTTACATGTTGGAAAACAGGTTAATAAAGACTTCACAACATTATTCAGAGTTTGGATCAAACAGTATTATTTGATTATTTGCAAATAAAAAATTGGACGGAAAATAAATTCATACTTCTAAAAATCACCTTAAGACGATCACATAGACTTTTGAAATTGGCGTAAATTTGGCAGATTCAGTTTAAGGTTGAAAATGTTTACTTCCGAGTCTAAGGCTGGACGCTAAAGCAACTGTTTCGCTTCATGCAAGTCGGCGATCAATCCCCGAACATCCAAGTGGTTGGGCACCATTCCTGTCCCCCGTCCCATCCCAAATCCTTATCCTGACCCCTTCCCAGTGATATATAGTCGTAATAACTTGGCGATTTCTCTTGATAATTCCCTTCTGTTCCGAGTCTATGAAATTTTGTTACCAGATATCAGTTGGAAGGTGTTGTAATTGCTGTCAGGACGCAAGGAAGATGTTGGGGGGTCATAGTAAACAGTGAATATGCTAGAAATTCAATGCATAAATGTTCATTCAGGTACTAAATGCTAAAAGGCACTGGGATTAATTTTTAGAAGAGCAATAAAACAATAATATCCGTCAGCTGTATCTTACTCTTGTTAGGCTCCATTTAGATTATGCAATTAAATTTTAGTGACGTACTCTAGAACTGACATATTCTCACTAGTTTAGTACTCTAGAACTGACATATTCTCACTAGTTTAGTACTCTAGAACTGACATATTCTCACTAGTTTAGTACTCTAGAACTGACATATTCTCACTAGTTTAGTACTCTAGAACTGACATATTCTCACTAGTTTAGTACTCTAGAACTGACATATTCTCACTAGTTTAGTACTCTAGAACTGACATATTCTCACTAGTTTAGTACTCTAGAACTGACATACTCCCACTAGTTTAGTACTCTAGAACTGACATACTCCTACTAGTTTAGTACTCTAGAACTGACATATTTCCACTAGTTTAGTACTCTAGAACTGACATACTCCTACTAGTTTAGTACTCTAGAACTGACATACTCCTACTAGTTTAGTACTCTAGAACTGACAAACTCCCACTAGTTTAGTACTCTAGAACTGACATACTCCCACTAGTTTAGTACTCTAGAACTGACATACTCCTACTAGTTTAGTACTCTACAACTGATATATTCTCACTAGTTTAGTACTCTACAACTGATATATTCTCACTAGTTTAGTACTCTAGAACTGACAAACTCCCACTAGTTTAGTACTCTAGAACTGACATACTCCCACTAGTTTAGTACTCTAGAACAAACATAATCCCACTAGTTTAATACTGTAGAACTGACAAACTCCCACTAGTTTAGTACTCTAGAACTGACATACTCCCACTAGTTTAGTACTCTAGAACTGACAAACTCCCGCTAGTTTAGTACTCTAGAACTGACATACTCCCACTAGTTTAGTACTGTAGAACTATCATACTCCCACTAGTTTAGTACTGAAGAACTATCATACTCCCACTAGTTTAGTACTGAAGAACTGACATACTCCCACTAGTTTAGTACTCTAGAACTGACAAACTCCCACTAGTTTAGTACTCTAGAACTATCATACTCCCACTAGTTTAGTACTGAAGAACTATCATACTCCCACTAGTTTAGTACTGAAGAACTATCATACTCCCACTAGTTTAGTACTGAAGAACTATCATACTCCCACTAGTTTAGTACTGAAGAACTGACATACTCCCACTAGTTTAGTACTCTAGAACTGACATACTCCCACAAGTTTAGTACTCTAGAACTATCATACTCCCACTAGTTTAGTACTGAAGAACTATCATACTCCCACTAGTTTAGTACTGAAGAACTGACATACTCCCACTAGTTTAGTACTGAAGAACTGACATACTCCCACTAGTTTAGTACTGAAGAACTGACATACTCCCACTAGTTTAGTACTGAAGAACTGACATACTCCCACTAGTTTAGTACTGAAGAACTATCATACTCCCACTAGTTTAGTACTGAAGAACTGACATACTCCCACTAGTTTAGTACTGAAGAACTGACATACTCCCACTAGTTTAGTATTATAGAACTGACATACTCCCACTAGTTTAGTACTGAAGAACTGACATACTCCCACTAGTTTAGTACTGAAGAACTGACATACTCCCACTAGTTTAGTACTATGGAACTGACATACTCCCACTAGTTTAATACTGTAGAACTATCATACTCCCACTAGTTTAGTACTGAAGAACTGACATACTCCCACTAGTTTAGTACTGAAGAACTGACATACTCCCACTAGTTTAGTACTGAAGAACTGACATACTCCCACTAGTTTAGTACTGAAGAACTGACATACTCCCACTAGTTTAGTACTATGGAACTGACATACTCCCACTTGTTTAGTACTTAAGAACTGACATACTCCCACTAGTTTAGTACTGAAGAACTATCATACTCCCACTAGTTTAGTACTGAAGAACTGACATACTCCCACTAGTTTAGTACTGAAGAACTGACATACTCCCACTAGTTTAGTACTGAAGAACTGACATACTCCCACTAGTTTAGTACTGAAGAACTGACATACTCCCACTAGTTTAGTACTGAAGAACTGACATACTCCCACTAGTTTAGTACTGAAGAACTATCATACTCCCACTAGTTTAGTACTGAAGAACTGACATACTCCCACTAGTTTAGTACTGAAGAACTGACATACTCCCACTAGTTTAGTAAGGGATGAAAGATAATTCCTGCCAGTAGACTCTTTTATGTGAACCGAGAGTCTAGTTTGTATTCTTGACGATTGTGAGGAGTGAGGAGACATGACTGAGGTGTACTAGAGGCTGGTGAGGAGTGAGGAGACATGACTGAGGTGTACTAGAGGCTGGTGAGGAGTGAAGAGACATGACTGAGGTGTACTAGAGGCTGGTGAGGAGTGAGGAGACATGACTGAGGTGTACTAGAGGCTGGTGAGGAGTGAGGAGACATGACTGAGGTGTACTAGAGGCTGGTGAGGAGTGAGGAGACATGACTGAGGTGTACTAGAGGCTGGTGAGGAGTGAGGAGTCATGACTGAGGTGTACTAGAGGCTGGTGAGGAGTGAGGAGACATGACTGACGTGTACTAGAGGCTGGTGAGGAGTGAGGAGACATGACTGAGGTGTACTAGAGGCTGGTGAGGAGTGAGGAGACATGACTGAGGTGTGACTGAGGTGTACTAGAGGCTGGTGAGGAGTGAGGAGACATGACTGAGGTGTACTAGAGGCAGGTGCGGAGTGAGGAGACATGACTGAGGTGTACTAGAGGCTGGTGAGGACAACAACGGGGATTTTCAACAAGCGGTGTTCTAATAAGGTGCTAAATATATAAACACAATTGAGAACCCGAACCTTTGGATAAAATATGAGTAAGATCATATTATAGAAGTCCTGGGTAAATACTGGTATGGAAACATGTTTGTTGATTTGTGTTACAAATTTCGGGATACCTTATCAGACGTGTAGATCACTTAATTGTTTCTAGTGCAGGTGAGACATGTATATGGCTATTGGCTTTCTGTTGTTTCTTTAATTTTTATACTTTTGTTATAAGAGCGTGTTGTAGCGACTAGTTAATGTATTAGTTGGCGATAATTACATTAGTGGCTGCCTGCAGGGTACCAACGGGAGCTCCTCTACCGTAGAGGTGACGGCTCCTTCAGCGCCTTCGGCAACGCTGACGACTCCGGCTCCACCTGGTTGTCGGCCTTCGTCCTCAAGTCCTTCAGCCAGGCCCAACAGTTTATTGTGGTGAGTGGACCTCCTCTTGCTGTGTTTTACATTACTCTACACTCAAGCATTCATTCTAAGCCAATTGTTTCACGCCAAGCTAACTTGAACTTCCTAGTGTAAATGGCGGTCAACAGACGGAGCCCAACAGATGGAGCCCAACAGACGGAACCCAACAGACGGAGCCCAACAGACAGAGCCCAACAGACAGAGCCCAACAGACAGAGCCCAACAGAAGGAGCCCAACAGACAGAGCCCAACAGACGGAGCCCAACAGACGGAGCCCAACAGACAGAGCCCAACAGACGGAGCCCAACAGACGGAGTCCAACAGACGGAGCCCAACAGACGGAGCCCAACAGACGGAGCCCAACAGACGGAGCCCAACAGACGGAGTCCAACAGACGGAGTCCAACAGACGGATCCCAACAGACGGAGCCCAACAGACGGAGCCCAACAGACGGAGCCCAACAGACGGAGCCCAACAGACAGAGCCCAACAGACGGAGCCCAACAGGCGGATCCCAACAGACGGAGCACAGCAGACGAATCACAACAGACGGAGCACAACAGACGAATCACAACAGACGGATCCCAACAGGCGGATCCCAAAAGACGGAGCACAACAGACGAATCACAACAGACGGAGCCCAACAGACGGAGCCCAACAGACGGAGCCCAACAGACGGATCCCAACAGACGAATCCCAACAGACAGAGCCCAACAGACGGAGTCCAACAGACGTAGTCCAACAGACGGATCCCAACAGACAGAGCCCAACAGACAGAGCCCAACAGACAGAGCCCAACAGTTTATTGTGGTGAGTGGACCTCCTCTTGCTGTGTTTTACATTACCACTGGCATGGTTGACACATTTGTTAACAGGCATATTGTTAGATAGAAGTTCTCAGTAACAAATAGTGCTGCGTATCTAACAAAATAATTACGGTACATTTTTAATTACGGCTCAGTTAGTTAATTAATTGAGCTAGACCTAGACATTTCGCTTTGTTGTCAAAACCGCAGTTTCAGGTTGACGAGATCAATCACTGACACTCAAAGGGCAGAAAACACTAGTGTAAAGAGTTATATATATAGAATTAAGATCTTAACGTACGGACAGCACAAAATATATACTAGGCAGTGTGATGTAACTGTCAGAATGAGGCTGGGATATCGATACCTATGGCAGGTGGCTGCGGGTAATGAGTGGCCCCAGTCTGAGCATTCCAACTGTAATCTGTGAAGCTAGGACCTGCTCTCCAACTAATTTGTGAGTTTAGCCCAAATATGATGAAATACTTTGAACTTTGTAACTGCTTCGTGCGCCTGCGAATATTGGAGGATATTTTGGGGTTTTACCCAACTTTGGTAGAGCTAGTGGACTAGACTTGCATCTGTGTTCTCCCGATTCCATTTATGACTAACCATCCAGTAAGGTAAGGATATCTGATGAACTCAAATGTAGCTCTTGATCTATATTCTGTAATCCTTGTATAATAGGGTAGCAGCACATTGCTTAAGTTTGTTAATACAACACCAAACGTTAGATGAAATGAAACTCCCGTTTCTTGTAGAACTCCCAGAAGCTCTCTTGTTGAGACTGCTTCCCACTCAACTGACACCCAGCCCACACATCTGACACCCAGCCCACACACCTGACACCCAGCCCATACACCTGACACCCAGCCCACACACCTGACACCCAGCCCACACACCTGACACCCAGCCCACACACCTGACACCCAGCCCACACACCTGACACCCAGCCCACACACCTGACACCCAGCCCACACACCTGACACCCAGCCCACACACCTGACACCCAGCCCACACACCTGACACCCAGCCCACACACCTGACACCCAGCCCACACACCTGACACCCAGCCCACACACCTGACACCCAGCCCACACATGTAAAAAAATAAAATACGACAACGTTTCGATCCGTCCTGGATCATGAGACATAATGGTCCTGGACCATGAGACATAATGGTCCTTGACCATGAGACATAATGGTCCTGGACCATGAGACATAATGGTCCTGGACCATGAGACATAATGGTCCTGGACCATGAGACATAATGGTCCTGGATCATGAGACATAATGGTCCTGGATCATGAGACATAATGGTCCTGGACCAAGAGACATAATGGCCCTGGACCATGAGACATAATGGTCCTGGACCATGAGACATAATGGTCCTGGACCATGAGACATAATGGCCCTGGACCATGAGACATAATGATCCTGGACCATGACACATAATGGTCCTGGACCTTGGCACATAATGGTCCTGGACCATGAGACATAATGGTCCTGGACCATGAGACATAATGGTCCTGGACCATGAGACATAATGGTCCTGGATCATGAGACATAATGGTCCTGGACCATGAGACGTAATGGTCCTGGATCATGAGACATAATGGTCCTGGACCATGAGACATAATGGCCCTGGACCATGAGACATAATGATCCCGGACCATGGCACATAATGGTCCTGGACCATGAGACATAATGGTCGTGGACCTTGGCACATAATGGCCCTGGACCTTGGCACATAATGGTCCTGGACCATGGCACATAATGGTCCTGGAACTTGGCACATAATGTTCCTGGACCTTGGCACATAATGGTCCTGGACCTTGGCACATAATGGTCCTGGATTTTGGCACATAATGGTCCTGGACCATGACACATAATGGTCATGGACCATGAGACATAATGGTCCTGGACCATAAGACATAATGATCCTGGACCATGACAAACAATGGTCCTGGACCATAAGACATAATGGTCCTGGACCTTGGCGCATAATGGTCCTGGACCATGACACATAATGGTCCTGGACGATGAGACATAATGGTCCTGGACCATGGCACATAATGGTCCTGGACCATGAGACATAATGGTCCTGGACCATGACATATAATGGTCCTGGACCATGACACATAATGGTCCTGGACCATAAGACATAATGGTCCTGGACCATAAGACATAATGGTCCTGGACCATAAGACATAATGGTCCTGGACCATAAGACATAATGGTCCTGGACCATGGCACATAATGGTCCTGGACCTTGGCACATAATGGTCCTGGACCATGAGACATAATGGTCCTGGACCATGGCATATAATGGTCCTGGACCATGGCACATAATGGTCCTGGACCTTGGCACATAATGGTTCTGGACCTTGGCACATAATGGTCCTGGACCATGGCACATAATGGTCCTGGACCTTGACACATAATGGTCCTGGACCTTGAGACATAATGGTCCTGGACCTTGACACATAATGGTCCTGCACCATGAGACATATTGGTCCTGGACGATGAGACATAATGGTCCTGGACCATGGCACATAATGGTCCAGGACCATGAGACATAATGGTCCTGGACGATGAGACATAATGGTCCTGGACCATGGCAGATAATGGTCCTGGACCATGAGACATAATGGTCCTGGACCATGACATATAATGGTCCTGGACCATGACACATAATGGTCCTGGACCATAAGACATAATGGTCCTGCACCATAAGACATAATGGTCCTGGACCATAAGACATAATGGTCCTGGACCATGGCACATAATGGTCCTGGACCTTGGCACATAATGGTCCTGGACCATGAGACATAATGGTCCTGGACCATGGCATATAATGGTCCTGGACCATGGCACATAATGGTCCTGGACCTTGGCACATAATGGTTCTGGACCTTGGCACATAATGGTCCTGAACCATGGCACATAATGGTCCTGGACCTTGACACATAATGGTCCTGGACCTTGAGACATAATGGTCCTGGACCTTGGCACATAATGGTCCTGCACTATGAGACATAATGGTCCTGGACGATGAGACATAATGGTCCTGGACCATGGCACATAATGGTCCTGGACCATAAGACATAATGGTCCTGGACCATGAGACATAATTGTCCTGGACCATGACACACAATGGTCCTGGACCATGAGACATAATGGTCCTGGACCATGACACACAATGGTCCTGGACCATGACACATAATGGTCCTGGACCATGACACATAATGGTCCTGGACCATGACACACAATGGTCCTGGACCATGACACATAATGGTCCTGGACCATGACACATAATGGTCCTAGATCGTGACACACAATGGTCCTGGACCATGACACATAATGGTCCTGGACCATGACGCATAATGGTCCTGGACCATGACACATAATGGTCCATGATCATGAGACATAATGGTCCTGGACCATGACACATAATGGTCCAGGACCGACCGAAATATCATCGATTTATAATTTTTGGATGTTTGGGTTTGATATTTTTCGTGAGATGTATTTACTGAGCTGCCATGAGCTGTGGTAATGATACCAATTAAGCGCCCAGACGCTGCTAATTGTTGTAGAAGCAAACAGCAATAATTTGCTTACTCCTGGTTTATTTGATGTATACTGTAAACTACTTCCTGAATCTGATTGTTATTCGTAATTGCAGATTGACAAGAATGATTTGAATCAAACAAGCACTTGGCTTCAGTCTAATCAGAGAGAGGACGGTTGCTTCAACAACTCTGGTAAAGTCTTCCACAAGGCCATGAAAGTGAGTATTTTTCTCATGCATAACTCAATTCCTTAGCTTATACAAAGTCCTGCCAATCCTCCTGTCTTAGGATGCTATGTGGGCTTTACTTACTAACACCAGGATACTGATGGAAGAAACACAATGTACCTGTTGGCATTTAAACACATCAGCATTGTAGTTTACAATCGATTACATGATAAAACACAGTTCAGTGACTCTAAATTCTGGTTCTCTTTTAGTATCAAAAGTTCTGAACACTACACAGTCTAACCTCGCTCTTAAACTGCATAGCCAATAACTGAGATCATGTCTAGTAATTATAACAACTAGTTATATGATACAAGCAAGATATTCTATGCAAATAAGCAAGCACTTATGATAAATTAATGTTAAATGAGATATCAATTGATAATTTATACACAGATGAATTATATATATAGATATTTATACATATATTCTGAATAAATTGTAGAGATAGATGCTCATTTGATTGCGGGGATTTTTCCCCTCTACATAACTATTAACAATTTATATGGACATATTAAGGTCATAAAAGAATGCAATTGGCCAATTTTCACTCTACAAACACTTAATAACTTCCCAAATTGAGAACTGATGCCCAACTGACCAGTTGCCAGATTATCTCTCTCCTGATGAGATTAGCCACAGTATTTTAATGATATAACCGCATTGCTGCAGTGAATAGATACACGCTGTAGAGTTTTTATGAGGATTAAGCTATTCGTGGTAGTGGTGAGCGGTCAACAGTCAACACATGCTGGGGGGTACCGCTCTCTACACTCGTATTTAGATACATGTATCAGTAATTTGTTCTGATTTATAGTTCACCACCTCCCTGAGTGTCTTAGGGAGCTATTCTGGTAATAATTAGATTGTTTGTGCGGGGTTAATCTTATTATAAAAGTCTCAAGCATCGTCACGTGTTCACTCTGTATGTAAACAATGGGTTCTGGGCCTCAAGGCGCTCGTGGACGCTTGCTCTCGGAGGTAGCTCCTCCCTCTCTCAAGTGATAGAGGCCAACATTGAATATGGATTAATAATTGTTAATGTCTAGACAGATTATTGAGATCAATCGGGATTGAAAGATGAATATGTATTGGATCTAATGATTATAGGTAGTACTAGTAGTACAGATTGATCCTTTATTTAGAACTTGAAAATACATCACCGGAAGCCCAAATCATGTTGCAATGGTATTTCAATTAAGACAGCTTCTTATTGAGCCTTATAGATCCTTGAAGATACATGAACAAAGTCCCGTAGGCATGCATAGGCCTCATGACGGACGTGACCGTTGTGGTATTGTCGTGTAGGATCTAATAGATGATTCTGATATAAATCTGATGTAGGATTCAGATGTATGATATAGAAATAATGATTCTGATGTACTTCATTTCTTTGATTGTAATATTGATTTAGTTGATGGAAATTTTCCCCACACTGAATGTCTACATACACAATTATCATGTGAAGCTGTCTAATTTTGTCGTCTGGATCTCCCTACAAAGTTTCTTTTGGGTGGTCTGGTCAAGGTGGGGATTCCTTTCTCTGTTTCTTTAAGTGGCCGGCTCCGCCTTGTTTTCAAGCCTTTCTTCGCTGTCCAATCCCAAGTATCTTTTTCCGATTCCATGTCTTTCAGCAAATCTATCTGTCCAGAGATTTTTCTTTCTGGTTTTGAGGTTCTGGTTCAAAGATCAACTCACCGAAGGTGGGTTGATCTTTGCTCTCTTCCCTGGTAATTTCCATTTTTATCTTTTCAGTGGGGAGCTACAGGAAGCCACCGTGCAGCCGCCAGAAAAACTGCATTGTATAAAGTGAAACCCCTTCTTCAGAGGGTCATTGGTGGGGCCCCATTAGTTGGTTTCTCTCTGACTTAGGACAGGACTGTTGATAGGGGGGAAACCAGCAGTTTCCGTTGTGCCGCCACCTGGTGATGGGTTGCTGTTACTAGGGGGGTGTAAGACCTAACTACTGGACGGATTGTTTGTCGAATAGTTTACTGCATTTTGTTTGCCTTCTTTGAACTTTGCATTTGTCTGTTTTGTTTCATTTCCTCTATAAGGGTTTATTTCATCGGTGAAGGTGATCGTGAATCCCCTGCACGTCTGTGATGGTTCAAGATTTTGGCCTTTGGTTTCCAGTAGGCTTTTAAGGGCCTATAAGGGCTGATGTAACTTGAATGTGGGGACCTCTCAGTGCTGTTAGCTACTGCAAGTCCCTGAGACCATTCTCCCCAGAAAGAGGCATTCCATTAATTCACTGCAAGTTTTCAGAACTTTCAAATGTTAGTAAATATCGGTTATAATTTTCCTAAGTCATTCACAATTAACAAAATATATGCTATAGAAGTGTTAGATATTAAAGGAGGTGGCAGAGTTTCAGAATGAAATAATTGAAAGTAAGTTATGTGTTAGGAACTGATGATGGAATATGCACGAACATGCAGTAGAGTTCAACACTCAGGCGATCCTATAACAATATGTTATCACATTTCTAACAGGGAGGAATTGATGGAAGTGACTCTCCCGTGCCTCTAACAGCCTATGTGATGATTGCTCTCCTGGAGGCCAATGACCAGTCATGCAGCCAGGCCGACTGTTTGGCTGCCCAGTGTCTACAAGCAGACTCCTCCTCTGACCCCTACGTTATGGCGCTCAAAGCCTATGCTTTCGCCTTGGCTAGGCTTCCTGAAGCCGAAGTAATTCTCCAGAAATTGCTGGAACAAGCTGTTGTGACAAAGAACTCCACTCACTGGGAGCTGCCCAAGGGACCAGGTATAGTCGGGGGAAGAAGGGTATAAGGTGTTACCTTAGTAAGTGCGTAAGCACTATATTTATTTTCTCTTTAACTTTGCTTACGACTGAATAATCTTGCTGGTTGTACTGACAAGTAATTATGGTTATAATTTTAGGCGAGCTTGATAGGCCTTAAATAAAGCTAAAATCCAAAACAAAATTGAGATGAATGTCATTCATTATTGTTTTATTAAATGCAACTCCTAGAATAATTTATATTTGAAAATAAACACAGGTAAATCAATATAAATATATCTAATCAAAGAACCCGTGTATTGTGGCTTGATATTTGCAGCCTAATCAAAATATTCACGTAATACATTTTGTTCGGTTAAAAAGAAGTTTTAAATAGAATTTTAGTTTTAAGATGATTGTTTACAGCATTTGTTTTAATTTATTTTACATTTCATTCACGTAGACCATCAGAGCCTCGAACCAAATGCCACAAAAGCAGACAACTTTAGTTCTACCAACCAGGCTACAAGCACCACAACTGGTATCTGACTGAGAAACCAGCTGTCTCTCTGAGCTCCTCCCTTATTGTGGGTGCTCGTAGCTTGGTTGGTAGAACAAGTCTTCTGCTTTGTTGGTTCTGGGTTCGAGGCTCTGATGGTCAAAGCGAAATTTTTTTTATTATCTACGTATCTTGTGGTCAGGGATATATTTTACCTGTGTCCAAATGATTGATATGTTTCATACAACAATTACGTATTGTATAATCAGGCAAGACGAAGGCTGTAGGGGTGGAAACAGCTGGCTACGCCATCATGGCTATGATGACCCTTGACCCTAAACAATACGAGCAGCAGGCTAGGAAGGTGGTCAAGTGGATCACGGCGCAGAGGAATGGCCAAGGAGGATTCTATTCCACACAGGTAGTATTCTCCTTCGTTACCCACATGCCTTGCCTATACATCCATCGTCGTTACCCACATGTCTTGCCTATACAACCATCATTGTTACCCACATGTCTTGCCTATACAACCATCATTGTTACCCAACATGTCTTGCCTATACAACCATCATTGTTACCCACATGTCTTGCCTATACAACCATCATTGTTACCCAACATGTCTTGCCTATACAACCATCATTGTTACCCACATGTCTTGCCTATACAACCATCATTGTTACCCACATGTCTTGCCTATACATCCATCATTGTTACCCACATGCCTTGCCTATACAACCATCATTGTTACCCACATGTCTTGCCTATACATCCATCATTGTTACCCACATGTCTTGCCTATACAACCATCATTGTTACCCAACATGTCTTGCCTATACAACCATCATTGTTACCCACATGTCTTGCCTATACAACCATCATTGTTACCCAACATGTCTTGCCTATACAACCATCATTGTTACCCACAAGTCTTGCCTATACATCCATCATTGTTACCCACATGTCTTGCCTATACAACCAACCATTTTATTGTGTGGAAGTTTAACAGATTTTTTTATATATTCATGTTCTTTAGCAATAGAAAAACTCGTATATATTTTTTTAAAGGAAAGAAATGTTGATATGAAAGAAACTTACAAAGAAATATACGCAAGTTGAGCACCGTGAAGCAGATAACATATTTCTAGGCTGTCCTCTATGTAGCACCCCAGTGTATTAAGTCCTTATACCACAGAACTCCCAGTGTATTAACCCCTTGTACCACAGAACCCCCAGTGTATTAAGTCCTTGTACCACAGAACTCCCAGTGTATTAACCCCTTGTACCACAGAACCCCCAGTGTATTAAGTCCTTGTACCACAGAACTCCCAGTGTATTAACCCCTTGTACCACAGAACCCCCAGTGTATTAAGTCCTTGTACCACAGAACTCCCAGTGTATTAAACCCTTGTACCACAGAACTCCCAGCGTATTAAGTCCTTGTACCACAGAACTCCCTGTGTATTAAGCCCTTGTACCACAGAACTCCCTGTGTATTAAGTCCTTGTATCACGGAATCCCCAGTGTATTAAGCCCTTGTACCACAGAACTCCCTGTGTATTAAGTCCTTGTACCACAGAACTCCGTGTATTAAGCCCTTGTACCACAGAACTCCCTGTGTATTAAGTCCTTGTATCACGAAATCCCCAGTGTATTAAGCCCTTGTACCACAGAACTCCCAGTGTATTAAGCCCTTGTACCACAGAACCCCCAATGTATTAAGCATTTGTAGCAATTATAATTGCTAACCAAATGTAAGAGTTAGGGTAGTTTGATGGTGAGAGCTGTGGGTTAGGTAATATGAGAAACAGAAGTACTTTGAGAATATCAGCATGAAGAGGGGATTGTGCGAAGCAAGTGATTGACATTACACAATACTTGCACCTGTACATATATTACTTGTAATTGCTCAACGGAATTATGTTTACTGAAACTTTTCCAAATCTATGGTGTTGAATCTGGGACTAACACATAGGTACATAATGAAACATATTTTCAGTTAAAGGAAGCATCGTGAATGTTAGGGGAAAATCATAATTGAAAAATGTCTTTACTAACAGGACGTTTTGTGCCCAATACGCAGGATACGGTGGTGGCCCTCCAGGCACTGGCATTGTACGAGACCCACTTGTACCAGGGACCTCTGAACGTGGTGGCAACGGTGACAGCTAGCGGCCTGGCACACCCCTTCACCGTCACCAACGACAACAAACTGCTGCAGCAGTTGGTAAAGCTGCCCACTGTTCCCACCAAGGTCTCCATCACTATGGAGGGCCAGGGATGTGCGGTCTTGCAGGTGAGCTTACTCTGTTAGTCTTTCTGTGTACGTGTGTCTGTGGCTGTGTGCATATGTGCGTGCGTGAGTAGTGTCGCTGTGTGAGTGTATGTGTGAGTGTGTCTGTGTACGTGTGTCTGTCGCTGTGTGAGTGTATGTGTTTGTGCGTGTCTGTCGCTGTGTGAGTGTATGTGTGAGTGTGTTTGTGTACGTGTGTCTGTGACTGTGTGTGCGTATGTGTGTGCATGTGTCTGTCGCTGTGTGTGCATGTGTCTGTCGCTGTGTGAGTGTATGTGTGTGCATGTGTCTGTGTACGTGTGTCTGTCGCTGTGTGTGCGTGTGTCTGTCGCTGTGTGAGTGTATGTGTGTGCGTGTGTCTGTCACTGTGTGAGTGTATGTGTGTGCATGTGTCTGTGTACGTGTGTCTGTCGCTGTGTGTGCGTGTGTCTGTCGCTGTGTGAGTGTATGTGTGTGCGTGTGTCTGTCGCTGTGTGTACGTGTGTCTGTGGCTGTGTGAGTGTATGTCTGTGCGTGTGTCTGTCGCTGTGTGTGCGTGTGTCTGTGGCTTCAGCTAGTTGTGTTTGCGGGGGTTGAGCCCTGCTCTTTCGGACCGCTTCTCAACTGTCACTCGCTGTGTGTTACACAGTTGAGTTGTTACAAACAACTAATTTTTTCAGCTTAGCTAATTTTGAGAGCGTAGCTCTCATCCTGTAACTACACTTAGGTAATTACACTTAGGTAATTACACACACACACACACACACACACACACACACACACACACACACACACACACACACACACACACACACACACACACACACACACACACACACACACACACACACACACACACACATACACACACACGGCCCCAGCATGGAGTATGGAGTATGCGGCCCCAGCATGGAGCCCGTACCATATCAAGCACAAGACGAAGCTGGAAAAAGTTCAGAGGTATGCCACAAGACTGGTCCCAGAACTAAGAGGCATGAGTTACGAGGAAATACTGCGGGAAATGCACCTTGCGTCACTGGAAGACAGAAGAGTGAGGAAAGACATGATCACTACCTACAAAATCCTCAGGGGAATTGGCAGGGTAGACAAGCATAAACTATTCAACACTGGTAGTACGCGAACAAGGGGACACAAGTGGAAACTGAGTACCCAAATGAGCCACAGGGACGTTAGAAAGTACTTTTTCAGTGTCAGAGTAGTTAACAGGTGGAATGCATTAGGCAGAGATATGGTGGAGGCAAACTCCATACACAGTTTTAAATGTAGATATGATAGAGCCCAGTAGGCTCTGGAATCTGTACACCAGTTGATTGACAGTTGAGAGGCGGGCCCAAAGAACCAAAGCTCAACCCCCGCGAGCACAATTAGGTGAGTACACACACACACACACACACCACACACACACACACACACACACACACACACACACACACACACACACACACACACACACACACACACGTTGATGAGAAGAGTTGTGACAGATGAGGATTGCAGGATCCTCCAAGAGGACCTGAACAGGTTGCAGAGATGGTCAGAGAAATGGCTACTGGAATTCAACACGAGCAAATGTAAAGTTATGGAAATGGGACTAGGAGATAGGAGACCAAAGGGACAGTACACAATGAAGGGGAACAGCCTACCTGTAACGACGCGTGAAAGAGACCACTGGGCCTCTACCCTTCAGACTGAACTATTTGCCTTGATCCTTGCACTGAAATGTGTACAAGTCTCAAAACTTGATACATTAATTGTAAGTGACTCCTTATCATCCTTAAATGCTCTCAACTCTTTAAGACATAACTGTAACATGCTCGTGTCCGAAGCTAGACACAAATACAACAAAATTATTAAGGATGGTAACAGAGTCCATTTCATGTGGTCTCCATCTCATGTTGGCCTCCGAATGCATGATAGAGCTGATAAGTTAGCCAAAGAATCTGCCTTTAAAGGAGCCGTTGAGTGTAACCTTGGATTGTCAATGAGCAATCTGAGAGCAGCTGTACACCGAGAACTCCAACAAGATCTTGTAGATCTGAGGCAAAGTGAAATTGACACCAGTAATTCCATCTATCATCATACTATCATGCAAGAGGAGCCACACATCTATGGATCATCCAATAAAATCAGCAGACTTCTAGATGTTACTACTGCTCGGCTTAGACTCGGTTACAAGTATCTCTGGGAATTCTCATTATCTGCTGATGTAGACCTGACCAAATGTAAACTGTGTCAACAAAATTATTCGCACACTCTCCGTCACTATGTGATGGAGTGCGAAAAGATACGTGAATTTAGAGACAATTCTATAACCAATGTTCCAGCGATGTGTCAATATTTCATTCAAAATGATCTGCTACCAGAAATTTTAGCCAAATATCCCCAGTTTGCTAACTGTAGGTAGTAACTAAGTGATTGTAACCTATCCACCGCTGCCCACTGGATGGGGGGCGGTGTGCAGGACAAACATATAAATTTTGACACTAGCTCTCCACATATGTCAGTTGCTTAATTTAGAACCTGTACTTGAGGTCGATCTCGAACCCATTGTTGATGTGATGACTTATATTGAATTTTGTAACTAGCTCATCAAGATTGTAACTTGCTTAGCTAAATGAATTGTGGGGTTCAGTCCCTGAGCCCATTATGTGCCTCTGTAACCCGTTCCACTACCGCCCACAAGATGGGTATGGGGTGCATAATAAATGAACTAAACTAAGTGGTAATCAATGAGCAAATTAATAAACAAACATTGAAGATATTAAAGTCCCCAGGGCCAGAATAGTGCTTGCCAGAGCTTGTAAAAGAGCTTGCAGAGCCCCTATCTTGCTTATTGAATAAATGGTTAGAGTCTAGCAGAGTTCAGGAGCCGGGGAGGGTTGCTTATGTAGTTCTCATATTCAAGAATGGAAATAGATTTCTTGCAATGGACATTGGAAAAGATCATTGTCTAATTAGCTTAATATTCATTGTAGGTACATTGCTTGAACTGATAGTCACAAAATTCATTTGTTCGTCTTTAAAGACGTGGATTAATAAATGAAACTCAATGTAGTTTCACTAAGAACAGACCATGTTTCGCTAAATTACTTTCACTCTTGTCTTGTTTATTTTAAGCAGTTAATTACAAAGAATATCTGGGGGGGGGGGTCATGATTAGTAGAAATTTAAAGCCAAACAATTTGTATATAAATGTATGATTTATGCAGTACAGTTTTGGTCATCATACTTTAGGATTAACATCAATTCACTAGAACGAGTTCAGCGAAGGATAACTAAGTTTATCCCACAAACTAGAAACATTCCATATTAAGAAAGGTTGAAAAACTTAGTTTACATTCGGTAGAAAAGTGAAGAGTTAAGAGTGACAGAAATGAATGG